CTTCTGGAAAAAAAACAGCAGTGTAGCTGTAGCCTGAGGGTCGAGGGGTATAGGCATGAGGAAGATGGGGGTTGCTTACCTGGCTCTGTGCCTCCAGCCGCTCCCACACACTGCCCCTCTCTGCTTCCCCTGGCCTGGATTGAGGCCAATGGGAGCAGTGGGGGGGGGGGGGGAGGAATGATTTCCTGGGAAGCCATTCCCCCAGATGGGGGTTAAGGGGAGCAGCAGCATGTAGAGCTGCTTCCTTACCCACTCATCCCCCTTCCCCTACAGTGGAAAGCCAGCACAAGGAGCTGCTCCAGCCATACCCAGAGCAGCCCCTGTCCTCTGTGGGCATGCATGGGCTGGAAAAGAGCCCCGCCAGGCTGGAGCATCCCCCCGCCTGCATTATGCAGTTGAAAGGGGAGGGGCTGCTCTAGTCCAGCCTAGCCATACTGGGATTATCTGATTAAACAGGATTTTACATCCTTAATTTTAATTGCCATATTTAAATATTTTTAACAGCATTAGGGACGGTGTATGCAGTAACTGGAACCAGAGTTTCTATCACCAGCTCACAACTTTATTTCCATACAAGTTCACATATGCTGATACACATTTTGTTTGGAATACAGGTACATGGTTTAAATTAGAGCTCCTGCTGTTGCCACCACTACTGACAATTGGGGAAAGAAAAATGTGTAGTACAGATTCAATCATAGGAGAATTGTATGACCAAAACCCCATCTGCAGTTGCAATATACCTGTACTTATTTTAAAACTACACATTTCATAAGAGTAATAAGCATTCACATTTCTAAGACTGGCTAAATTTTAGCAGAATTTAACAGAAGAGAAAGTGGTTTTGAATTGATTTAAAAAAAATCTAATGACAGTCAATTTGTATTTTGACATCTAATCCCTATATTTAAAACAAAATGCAGACTTCTTGATAGCTCTGAACATGCAACAAAGCAAAAGAGCCAATCCAGTGGATATCTTTGTAATCCTTAAGAATGTGCAATTCACACCATCTCTAAATAAATTAACCCGCTGAAATGTGAAGAGGTATGATACAAAGTGTCAATTTTTGCCCCAGCTCTGATTAATACAGTAGATTTCTCTAATGTAGACTGTGTTGTTTCGTAGGTGGCATTTATGTGAGAAAAATCTATATTTTGAATGGGCAGGGACTTGCCCTAATCTCATATTTGGTTTCAGTTTGTCTGGGGTTGCTAAATCCACCCAAAAACTCAGAGTGACTTCCTATAAAAATGTTGGTTTTTCTGAAAGCATACATTGGCCTTTATGTACTTCAAAAGCTTAGGGAATTCTAGCAAGTCTTTCAGGGTATGTCTACACTACAGCACTAATTCGAACTAACTTAATTCAAATTAGTTAATTCGAACTAAGCTAATTCGAACTAGTGCATCTAGACCTAAAAACTAGTTCGAATTAGAGTTTTGCTAATTCTAACTAGCATGTCCACATTGAGTGGACTGTGAACCGGGGTTAAGGATGGCCGGAAGCAATGCTGGCAGGGCATCAGATTAGGACTTAGAGCGTGGTGCTGCTGTTTCAGGCTAGCTGAGGGCTGAGCTTAAAGGGACCTGACCCCCACCCCGGACAGACAGTTCTCAGGGGTTCCCGCTTGCTTTTCTAACTCGATTAGGGACAGCAAACCAGTCCTGGCTTGGAGTGCCCTGAGTGCCCACACTCGGCACATCACAGCACTCGGCCATCAGCCCGGCTGCACTTGCTGCAGGTGTAGGGATAACATATTAATGTATTGAAAATGATTCCTCCAAATGGAAGTGACTCCCCATAATTTGTTCCCCACAACTTAAAGTGTTTAGATTTATTAGGATTCTTCTTCTTATTATTATTATTTGTTAAGATTGTTAAATGTTTAGATTTATGATTATTATTGTCCCTTTAGAATATAATGTATTAGGTCATGTAACTTAGAACTGTTAAAAATATAATCCTAACTGTTAAGAATATAATCCTATGTAGCCAGAAACAGCCCCCTCCCCCCCTCTGTGCTCCAGGGCATGCTCAAGCTTGTGCAAGGGGCTGCTTGAAATTGACATTGCAGAGATACATTGTAACAATGCATTGTCAAGCCACTAACTCTGCTATGGGAGCCAAGCCCTGTAATTGACTAAGGCCATTGTTACTTAATTGAGGCCTGTTCTCTTTAAAACATTGTAACTTTATTCAGCACTCAGAGAATGTTTTAAGCAATACCACCCAGAAACTTTCTGTAACTACAACTTTTATTATTATACAAAATACTGTATGAATGTATGAGAGAGTGCTTGGATGATGAGTGAATGGTTCTGAGAGGTGCCAGCCTGAGAATACAGCAACAAAGGGCTGAAGAAGGCGTCAGGTGCCAGTGCAACCAAAAGGTGTCAAGTGGAGAAACTGGAGGTCCACCCGATGAGATCACTGATGAGCACCTGGCAGCCACCCTGGAGACATCAGCATGATACAGCAATTTCCATAGACTGGCATAGGAAGAAATTCCTATAAGAACTGGACTAAAAAACTATGGAATCAGAGTCCAAGGTTCTGCTGCCAGCCTACCAGGAGCTTCAGATGCGCATCTGATCAGGACTTCGCTCCCCACTACCATCACTTGTGTACAGAATACCTGGCCAGTATTCTGTCACAAGCAACTTCCAGGCTGGTAACTATAACAAATACACAGAACCTGAATGAATGGATGAATGAATGTTTATATGTATAAGGGTTAAGTAGTTAAACAACATTGTTTGCTTCTATCTTTTCTTTATTATCTTTACAATAAATGTGGCTTTTTGCCTTATCCCCCTCATAAGATCCTGCATGCTTTTATTGATACAACATACATGGTTATACTTTTACATTCCTCAGGCTCTCAAACTAGGGAATTTGTTTCCAATACGATATGGAAAACTGTTTGAGTTTTGCAGGCACAAGAATTTAATACTAGATAATTACACAGTATGCATGTTTACAGCTTTATAATAGTAAAAGCTCTTGTTTGTCAACAATACTACCTTTTCCCCTAAAAAGAGTACGTAAATATCTAAAAAGGTGTTTATAAGGAGGGAGTGAGGGGAAAAAATATATTCTCCTTAGCCTCTGGTGATAGGACAAGAAACAATGGGCTTAAACTGCAGCAAGGGAGGTTTAGGTTGGACATTAGGAAAAACTTCCCCTCAGCGTGATTAAGCACTGGAATACATTGCCTAGGCAAGTTATGGAATCTCCATTCTTGGAGATATTAAAACAGACTAGACACACATGTCAGGAATGGATCTAAACCAGGGTGGGCAATAATTTTTGTTTGGGGGGGGGGCCACTCCAAGAATTTAGTAAATGGTCAAAAGCCACATACTCCCATATTAATAGAGGTGGTGTGGGGTTTGGGATGGAAATGGGTGCAGAAGGGAGCTTGGAGTAAGGAATTAGAATGCAGGAGCGCGTGTGGGATCTGGGAAGGAGATCCGGTGAAAAAGGAGTTGTGACCTAGCACAGTAGTGCAGGAGGCTGTGCAGGAATTTGGGTTATGATCAGGGACAGGAATTGGGGTGCAAGGTCTAGAGTGGTTTGTAGCCAGGAGGAGGGACGTAGGAAGGGAATGCAGGATTTGGGAGGGGGTATGAGTGCAGAAGCAGGGATGCAGAGGGCTTGGGAATCTGGCCCTGCCAAGGACAGAGGCTGCTCTGCAGAAGAATCTCCTTCCCCACCCGTTGCTGCCTATCAGGGGAAGGGGCCAGTTCCACGGAGCTGGTGCTTGTTGGGAGCCAACTTTTAAGCCTGTTGCAAGCACCAGCCCTTGCTTCCTTCCCCCTCACCTTGCTATCTCTGTGGGAGGCAGCAAGGGGATGGGGGCAGGAAGGCTGCTCCTCAGACCGGCACACACGAAGAGCTATCTTAAAAGCTGTCTCCCCACATTACCTGCTCCCACCTGCCCTGCCCCCTTCACCCTCTATGCTACCACCTCTCTATGAGAAGCAGTAGTAGGAGAGAGCAAGTGGCTCTCGCCTCCTCCCCCCTTGCTGCCTTTGATAGAGAGGCTGTGAGGGGGAGGAGATGTGTGTCATTGACAGAATTAACAGATAAGCCCTGATTTATCAGTTAATCATGTAGTCAACTACACATTGACATCCTTAATTTACAATAGTCTTTTTTCCTTAAAATTATCACCAGTGTACTTCTATCAGCAGGAGCTATAAACACAGACTGAGCAAAAGACAACAGTGGCCAGAGTTTGTAAAACCCATCTTGTCTAGATCTAAGCAGGCTCAGATAATACAGTTGTTAAAGCTGCCCACCAAAGCCTTGCCCAAACCAATGGTTCCCAACCACTGGTCTGCAGACTGGTGCCAGGCTGAAAATTGTTGGCTGCCAGGCCGCAGCACAATGCCAAGCCACACCCATGCCTTGTTGATTGGGTTGGCAAGAATTAGGGATGTTAAGGACTAGTCGACTAGCTGATAAGAGGTTACTCATCTGGATAGTAACTGACATTCTTCGAGATGAGCATCCCCATGGGTGCTCCACATTATGGTTAGTGTGCTGGAACCAAGCCTCAGAGCAGAGATTTCCTAGCAGTGTCCCTGGGTCTGCACACTAACTGTTGCACGTTGTTAGTCTACAGGTATTGTGCACATGCGCTAGCCACTCTCCCCTCCCTCCTCTCCAGTTCCTTCTCTACCCTGAAACCATGGCTTAGGAATGCCACGATCCCGAAGTAGAGGGGAGGAAGGGAGGGTTATGGAGCATCCACAGGGACACTCATCTTGAAGAACATCAGTTACTATCAAGGTGAGCAACCTCCTCTTCGAGAGAGAGATATCCCTGGGTGCTCCACATTAGAGGACCACAAAGCAATTCCCCTTTCGGGAGGTTGGGACTTCAGATCTGGCAGAAAAGCATGGAAAGAACTGCCTTAGCTAATTTCAAGTTGGAAAGAGGTCCCTGTAAAAGTGCATAGTGCTTTGCAAACATGTGGTCAGAGGACGACGTGGAAGCTGCACAGCTGTCTCTTATGGGTACTTTACAGAGGAAAGCTATCGAGGTAGCCGTGACTCTGGTTGAGTGTGCCCTTATGTTCTCTAAGGGAGCACTCCTGACTGTGCATAGCAAAGCTTGATGCAATCCAAAATCCAGTGGGAGAGTCTCTGTGACAAGAGGGCCTGGCCCCTATTGTGGTTTGCTATTGAATAAATCATCTGGAAGACACTCAGAACAGTCCCATTCTCCGTAGATATAAAGAGTCCTCTGTGTAGGTCAAGAGTATGCATTTTCATCTCAAAAGCTTAGACGTGTGGTTTGGGGAAGAAGTATTGTCTGATTGATATGGAAGGATGAGTGTACTTTGAATAGTAACTTGGGATGGGTGACCTTGTCTTTATATTAAAAAAAAAAAAAAAAAAAATGGTATATGGGGGACCCACCATTACGGCTGCAATCTCTCCTACCCGTCTGGCCAAGATAATGGCTACCTGGAAAACCATTTTCATAGCCAACTGTAATAACGAGGTGTTCGCCACTGGTTCAAAGGGAGACCTAGTTAGAGCATTCAATACTAAATGCAGGTCTCATGGTTGCATTGGTGGATTGAGATCTAGATAAAGTGCCTACAGGCCCTTTAAGAACCTCTTGGTGAGTGGATGGGCAAATATGGACGAGTAGTCTATCTTTGAGTGGAACGTAGTAATGGCCATCAAGGAAGGTAGGTAAAGGGGATGTTGAAGGAACCAACTGGTGACAAGGCCAGCACGTAGAAAATCTTTTCCATTTCTGAAGGTAAGTCTTGCAGATGCTCTGTGTCCTACTGTGTAGGATAGGGGCAGGCAATGATGGTTTGCCGGGAGCCACTTCAAAAATTTCTGGGCCACACCGGAAGGGGCAAGGCCAGAATACTTCCTCCCCTTCCAGACCAATCATGGTCTGGGGTCGGGAACCAGGAGGGGGCGGAGTGCCTTTATCTGCCCACCTCCCTCCCTTTCCCCCTAGGTGCCCATGCCCCTGGCTGGAAGGATACTTCCCAAGCTCCCCTGCCTTAAAATTGTTAGATTGTCTGCTGGTGGGGAAGGCGATATCTGGAACACCATTTTGTCCTGTCTAGTGGATCTGGGTTAAAGCAAGGAGCTCTCTGAATCGGAGTGAGGTAAGTCACTGATCATTAGAACCTGTTTGAGATATTACTGAGGGTGGGTGAGCAGGTGAAGACTGTGCGGATATTGTGGGGGAGCACCTAGAGGTGTGCTGATGTTGTGATGTAGAAGTTGTATGTCTTGAATGGTAGGCACGGGACAGGCATGGTAGGTAGCCTTGCCATGTATCCCAGTGGACCCATCGAGGCTAGAACTGTTGTGGAGGATACATCCACAGTTGGTTAGACCACATGGGATGCTGTTGGAGGGAATGATCCCTGCATGAAAGCCAGTGATGGAGAAAGAGAGGAATGGCATGATGAGAACCTACTTCTATGCCTGCTGCCATAATCAGTTCTTGGGGAAAGCGGTGTAAGAGGAGGGAACACCTTGTTGCATAGTAGTGTGCCCCTGGGAGTAAGACACTACTGTGGAGTATGGTGAGCAAGCTCCTGCTCTGGTGTCTGGCTGAGAAGGTGTTGTGTTTTTTTATGCTGCAGTGCCAGGGGACAATCAAGGTCGTTCTGCTTGGTCTGTTCAGACACCAGAGAGTTAATATGGAGATATACCTATCTCATAGAACTAGAAAGGACCTTGTGAGTCATTGAGTCCAGTCCCCTGCCCCCACAGCAGGACCAAGTACCATCCCAGACAGATTTGTCCCAGAACCCTAAATGACCCCCTCAAGGATTGAACTCACAACCCTGGGTTTAGCAGGCCAATGCTCAAACCATTGAGCTATCCCCCACCCCCTTATCAGAAGCTATCCCACCCCCTCATCAGGAGCTGATGGTAGGGCATCTGCAGCTTCGTTGGTGACGATGTTTCTGTTACACTGACCATTGCGACATGTTTGGATTTTGCCTCAGCTCTCCTGGCTGGTGCAGGCTTGCATTTCTCCGCAGTGGCAGAGACCGACAGCACCAGAGAATGAGAGGTTCTGGACAATGCTGATAGTGAGTGTGCCAGGGAAGCCCGTGCAGTTTCAGAGCCTTTGCAGGGTTCCCCAGGCTTTTGCTGTCCCCATGAGTCCTCTGGTTTGTCCTGTGATAGTTGAAGGGACTTCTCACGAAGAAGGGTTTTAAGCCGCATTTTGCATTCTTTTCTGGCCCTGGCTGGCATTTTCAGGCAGTGAGAGCACTTGTGTGCTGCATGCGACTCCCCCAGGCATTTAACACAGGAGACATGGCCATGCAGGATAGCCAGAGTATCTGCATGAGTCACATCTTTTAAAAACAGAGGAACCTGGAATGCTGAAGGAAAGAGCCACAACCACGGTTGCCTTCACTTTTTTTTTTAAAAAAAAAGTAACGAATGTTGAAACTAGTGATAACTGACTAAACTATGAGGTAAAAGTGTAAGCTAATTCTATTAATCTTGTTTTACTGTCTGGAAGAAGAGCGCTGCTCTGACTCCGGCTTCAGCCGAGGATGGTGGAAAAGGAATTGATGAGACTTGTGCCACAAACAGCGGGGATGCAAGACTCTGGGTGTGCACGAGCAGCGCAAGGGGCACTGCTCAGCAAAATTCTCCGATCCCCAGCACGAGGACGCACCAAGACCTCACTGGAGCACCCACAGGGACACCACTTGCTAAAGAAGCAAATGCTTATCAGATAGTCAGTCGACTAGTCGATTCCTTCCCCCTTGCTGTCTCTAGCGGGGAGGATACTTCAAAGCGGCAGCGCTGCACAGCTGAGCCCAGGATCAGCTGTATGGCACTGGCTCCTTTGAAATGCCACCTCAGCATTTGAAAGGGACAGCACCACATAGCTGAGCCAGGGATCAGCCATGCAACACTGCTGCAGCACCACATAGCTGAGCCAGGGATCAGCCATGCAACGCTGCTGCATGTGGAGCCCAGAGTCAGCTGGGGACTCCCCAGCTGATCCCAGGCTCCTGCCCTGCATTTTTGTGGAATCTGGGATCAGTTGGGGAGTCCCAGATAAATGACAGAAACTGGGCAAATGTGTGAATAGGGGAATTTGACATTGTTTCATACTTGTGGATTTTTCAGAAGCTGTTGGACTTTCCAAGTTAGTAAGTGAACACCTGAAGTCACTCTTGGACACATTTGAGCTGTATTTTCCAAATTCAAAAGATCCAAGAGTCGGGAAAGAATGGATCCACGATTTGTTTCTTCCTGCCAACAAGATGCCATCCTTTTACACTGAAACAAGAGGATCAGTTTATTGAGCTGCCATGTGATGGATGACTTAAAACTTTGTTTAATGCATCCTCATCTCTGTCGTCCTTCTGGATTAAAATAGTGACTCAGCGCCCTAGTTTTGAAGACCTTGCTGCCATTTCCATGTACAAACCTTTGTGAAGGTTTTTCTGCAATGACTACCACCAAGACCAGACATCAGAATAGGCTTGATGTGAGAAACACACTGCAAGTCTCAGTCAAGCATAATGCCTGATATAACTTGCTTGTGTCAGGCAAACAGGCCCAGTGATCCCACTGGTACGATCTCATCAATAAGTCGTACATTTTCGTGTTATTTAGCTAGACTAGCTCGTGAAATCTTATGTATGATTTTTAACTGTTGGGAAGTAAAATATTTTGGGAAGTGAAGTCTTATGTATGGTATGATTTTCAACATACCATATGTTACTTCATGAAAATAAAATACTCGGGTTAGCTAGCAATGTGTTATATGTGATTTTTTTTGAAGGTGAAAAGCAAATATTTCGGGGAGGAGAATAATAAAAAATCCATTACAATGACATGTACTGTGTGTGCACAGATGCAATGTAAAACACCAATGACCTGTTAAAATTAATTACCATAATGAATATGCAAATAAAATGTTTCTGTTACCAGCTGCCAATAGTTTTTGAATGAGTATACCGGTCCAAGGTATAAAAGAGGTTGGGAACCACTGGTCTAAACTAATGCCCCCAACTTTGCTAGTGGAGCTGTACAGATGTAGTATATTTTACAGGATAACGCTGGTATAAAAATCCCTTCTGTGCAGCTGTGTCAAGTAACATTTCATTAGCTAGTCAAGTAGTCAAGGGAATTTCTATACAGCCAGACCAGCTCCTACTACATGCAGAGCTGCAGCCGGGTTAGCTTCTGGGGGGGTGGAGTCAGCTGGGACTGGAGCACTCCTGGCTCAGGCCAGATCCCCAATCGCTGGGCATCTGCTTTTTAAGTGTATAACTGCACAGGTCTATCAGCACAAAGCAATAAGATCTGTCCATATTTCCCCGTGTTCTAACAATACATAGGAATAAATGTCAACAGTGGAAGTGTTCTGAAGTGACACACACAACCAATTGCTTGGTCATACATTGCTATGGTACAGTGATTAACAGATTTTGGGGCAGGTAAGCTTTTTTTCTATTGCAATTATAAGTAACATCCTGGCAATAAAATAAACTAGCTCACTGTGTTGACCTAAGCAGCAATACACAGTATCAGTTTTCCAGATTTTCTTTTTTCCTAGAGTGGTAAGACAGCAAAGTAGTGCTGTCTGATACAGAGGCAGTAGTGCAGGGGACTAAGCAAGAGCCAATCCATGCACGGCAGCTGGTTTAAAAACTACCCCCGCCTGCCTGCCTCCCATGGCCAGAGGCTGTGCCAGCATCCCACGGGATAGTCTTTCCATGAGGAGCTCATGGTCCCACAGACAGGGGCTACTGCCAGTCCACACTGCTGCCTCACTATCAGAGGCAGCAGCACAGGGTGGAGGGAGACTCCCTATGAGTGGGGCTGGGAACATTTTAGTAACCATGCAACCACTAAGAATTATTGTGGTTACACGATTACTAAAATAAATCATTTCTAACATCCTAATAGCAAAGCCACTTTTAGTTGTGAAACATTTATATCTAAATTAATAACTAAAGGTTCTCCTGTAAAAGCATTATTGTTTGTAGGATCAGCTTTACCTGCTGTACTGACACGTAAACCTATTCCTAAAGCTTCTTCTGTAGCGGTCATATGGTAATTTTGTTCTTGTTCTCACATTTGTGTTAGAATAAGTTACCAAATGCAAGCTAGCAACTTATATTAGAATTAAGTCATGAACCACTACTCAGATCCTAAATCACCAAAACAGTCCACCAAAGCACTTCATCGTGCGCACGGCCTGCTTCAATACAACATATAAATGGCTGATTCATTAGCATTTAGTTGTCATTCACATTGTTTTAATTTACACGTGTAGACAGACACTGCTGTAGAAAGAATCTAATTTATGCAAAGCAGGGATGTTAAATGCAATTTAATCAACCAGTTGATGGAGTTTCCATTGACTAGTCAATTAGCCAATAAGCGGGGGAAACTGCAGCACCTCAACGAGGTTAGCTCTCCAGGGGTGCCAGCAGTTTGATACATTTAAAAGGCTGAAGTGCAGCTGGGAGGGGAAGGAAGGGGTGGAGGAAGAGGGCAGTGTCTTAGGTGCAAGCTGGGACAGCCGACTCCTAGCTCATGTCCAGTCCCAGCTATGCCTCTGCCTCCCAGGAAGATAGCCAGCTTAAAAGATGGCTTCCCTAGCACAGTCTCAAGCACTGGCACTCTTCTCCGAGGTAGCAAGGGGCCAGGGAAGTGACTATCCAAGTCACTAGTCGACTATCCAATAAGCAGGGCTCACAGAACTGCACTGTCCATCGATCTGCACATGCACAGATCACCCGAACCCGGCTCTTCCAGGTTGCAATTTACTCGCCACAGGTGAGTAGATTGCATTATTTGTTGAGCCCTGCCAATAAGCATATGCTTACTGGATAGTCGACTAGCCGCTTATATCCCTAGTGCAAAGTAAGCTAATAGTAAAATAAGTCAATACAGGTGACTTCAAATTTTAAGATGTAGAATCTGTTAGGCCCACAAAAGATTTGGGTGGCTTAGCTTTATGTAGCCCTCCTCTGTAATATGGTTGGGCCCTGCTGATATAGGGCTAATAGTTGAACAGATGACACAACTTAAGTTAATTGCTGGAATCCACCTTATCTACCGAGAGGCTTATTCATCACTCCACACTCAGGCAAAGCTCGACTGAAGCACTAAGTTAAGCATTTAACCCAAACACTAGGGATGTTAAAATTCATTTATTTTGGTAAATGTGTACCTGCTGAATTTTTCAGGGTGTACATAGTTACATGTGGTGGGGTTTGCAGAGGGGGCTCTGCAGGAGCTGATGCACATGGGGATCCTGCTTAAAGCCAATCAAATTCAGTGTGCAAGAGCTCCCGACTGCCTTCCACTGCTGCCTCTGATATAGGGGTGAAGGGGAGGGGAGAGCCTGCATGTAACCATCATGGTTAATCTATGAGCTGAGGATCATTGGTTAACCATTTGCACTATTACATTCCCACTTAACATTAATTTTAGAATGCTGGCTTGCTTTTCAAATGAGCCCCCCCCCCACACACACACACTTCCCCCTCAGAATGAAACCCATCAAACAAGAAGGCATTCTGGGTGCTGGAAGAATATGCCATCAGCCACTCTGATATCTGCAAGTGAGAGACCAACAGGTACTAAGAGGAATAGCAGCTTGCTTTTTCGACAATACTGATCGTAGTTTAGATGCTCTTTCGACAGGCTGTGTCGACAGTATCGGTGGACAAAGCCTCTGTTGAAAAAGGCGTGCAGTCTAGACGTAGCCTAAAGGGTTTAGAAGTGGGATGCAAAGGACCTCAAAAAAGATTGTTGTGGACAAAATAGGCGCGCACAAACAAGATCACAAAGGCGTTCATTGTGAGCTCTAACTCCATTGAAGAGGTTAAGGTACTGAAAACCTTAACATTTTGAATAAAGGAGTTCTTTGATAAGGATACTGAAAAGATGTATTATGAACCTTTTGTCCTTACATCTGACTAAAGCTCCTATCCCCATCCACCCTGCTACTCCAAAGTTACCGGACTTGCATTCTCCTGGCACTTGTTTAAAAAAAAAAAATAATAATAATACACACCCACACACGCACACCATTTCCCTAGTTGTCCAGTCTTCCAGCCTACGAAAAATGTTTCAAACACTCAACATTAATTAAATACAAAATTAGAAGCCAAAGTTCTCCATTTCTCCTTGCCAGTCACCTTTCAAGAACTGATGTCCTCCACCAAAGGAGTCCCTAGCACAATAACCAAGCATTTGGTGTGTGCATATATATTTCCATATCTAGTTATGCTCTTTAAGTTTGCATTACAAACAGAAGAGTGATTTTGAACCCAGAACTTGAGCAGCCTATGCAACAAAAAATAAAAATATATAAAGGTAGCACTGTAGGAGAAAGACTGGATTGCTAAGTACCTTCCAAGGTAGTTGCTAACTGTTAGGCATCCAATCTAACAGTTAGCAACTACCTTGGAAGGTACTTAGCAATCCAGTCTTTCTCCTACATTGCTAGCTTAAAACTTTATTTTTGACTTTTTGGTGCACTTTGTTCTTATTTTTAGTCTTCTGGTGCACTTTCAGAAATATTGTCTTTTTAAAAGTGTTTTTTTTGGTCTGTCTTTTTGGTTGTAAATCTATTGTGTTTCAACTAATAAAAAGTCCAAAGTTCATATTGATACACTTATCTAGTTTGAGCTAGACTTGTTTCCAAAATTTTTTTGGGAAGGGTTTCTGGAAAGTTCAATGTGACTAGAATTCGTGTAAGAGGATTCAAGGTGAAGAAACAGAATAAGCCTACCATTCCAAATATAAGTGAGAACAGATGAGCGCAATTGAGAAAAAAGGTGGGGAGAGAAGGCAATGAACACCAAGAGCTGTCACGGAACACCAACTGCCCAGCTATGAGTGCTGTATACATCATATCAAGTAGGCTTTCGGGGGGGGGGGGGGGGAGTTGAAGGAGATGTGCATGTTGATGGGGAGTGCACTGACAGATAAGGGTAGTGGGGAGCTGTTTGTTGGAACTCTTCTTCGTTAGGTCTTCGTAACCTTAAAATAGTATTTTTAAATCTATGTGCAAATGTGGGGTGGGGAGCTAAGCATGGGCTGTGTGTGGGAGGTGTGGACTGTGCCCAGGGGTTACAAATCAGAGGGTTATACATGGGGGAGGGTGAGCAGGGTTGTCAGGGGATCATTGGCTGGGGGAGAGCACGGGGCTGGCGGGGCAGCCGGTGGCAGCCATGCAGGTCTCCCCCAGAGGGCAGGAATATTATGGGCTGGGGCACACCTATGGCAGGATGGAAGTCTGTTTGCAGCGTGCTCTTACCTGCAGCGCTGCACAGCAAGCTCCTCTCCTCCACGAGCCGAGGCTCACCTGCAACAGCTCCTGCAGTCAGGCTGGCGGGAGGAGGTGGGGCAGACAGGAGCCCATGCTGGGGGAAGCTGGCTTGAGAGCTGGTTCCCCCCTGCACCATCTCCACAAGGGGAGGGGAAGCAGAGCAGGAAAACAGCATGAGCAGTCCAAGGCACAGCTGGGGTAACGAGCACCCCACATCCCCCTTATTGACTGAGTAGTTGATGGAAATTCCATCAACAACTTGATTACCTGATTAATCAAAATGTAACATCCCTAGTCCAGTACCTCTGCTGCTTTTCACCCTTTTACTAAACAACTACATGAAGTTAACATGACTCAGGTCAGTTTCACTCTAGAATTCAGAACCCCATGAAACTGCAGAGAAACTAGCAGCAAACTGAAATGATTCTTGAGAACATTATTGCTGCAGAGGCAGGTACTCATGTGAGAAAGACAATATTCCCAGCCCCCAAAGGTAAGTTCAAATGAAGACCTTTCCCTATTTGCAATATATGCAACAGTAATAGTTTAAATATCCCAGTAATAAAATCTGATGTAGTCATAATTAGAGTCTGTTCAAAGCACTCACTGTTTCAAATGTCTTAAATTGAGCTGCAGGAGTCTAATGCTCCTAAAAATCAGATTCTTTTTCTATTTTGCCAGCCACCCTACGTTGAATAGCTCCTTGCACCGTTACATCTGATTGAGAATAATTAATCTGTGTTTTGCCTGCAATATAGAAAATAGAAACATATATTCTTTGAAAAGCACATTAAGTCAACTTTCCAAACCAGGACCTCCAATCCATTAAAATATATCACATGTGAAATGCAGGAAATGCTGGGACAGCTGTTTCAACTGTGCTTGCTTTGAGACAGCAGGGTTCTTCTGAGCAGTTGTCCTGTACACCAGCTGTACTGCGCTCAACACATGCCTAGTCACTCACTCTATTGCCCCATCTATCAAAACCACATTGAGTCTATTTCATTGTCTAATCTCAGTTCAGAAATTCCTCCTCTCAAAAGAAAACATCTGGAAAGAAAGCTGGTTTAAAGACACAAAGCAAAGAAAGTTATTCAGTGCATGGTAAGTTTTAGTTTAAAAAAAAAAATCAAAGCACAAGAGTAAGTTCCTCTTGATAGTTACAACCTTAATATCTTCATTCAGCTATATTGTTTCCTTAAAACCTGCTTTCATGACATTAGCCCCTATAGGGGGAGCAGATGTACCTAGCCACAGGTCAAGCACTATGGTGAAATCTCAGCCTGTTATTAAAACAAACACTAGTTTAGTCATGAAATCCAACATTTATTTTACGGCAGCTCACCTTTCCTAGAGAATGCTTAAACTGAACAATGCATGTCTTAAACGTAGACAAGAGAGGGCCCTTACAGATGAGATCAAGGAGATCATACCATACATAAAGGATTACACAGACAAATGTGTGACAATCTGATAAACAGATGGACAAGTTGAGAGCATTGGTGGAAGCTAACAGGTCTTTAAACTAAGTTTGACAGAAGAGGATAAATAGACAAGGGCAGACTTACACAGCATTTTCAAGGTGACAAAAAAACCTTGCATTTGACACAATCCTTAGTTGGAAAGCCAAACCGAAGACTTCAGAGAGTAGTTGTATAAACAAAAAGGAGACAAGGAAAAAAGTTTAGTGGCAGCTTTTTGCATGGACTAAAGGAGAAAGCAATGTCTGATGAAAGCAGAGGATGTAACAGGTAGAAGAGCTTTTATAAATAAATATAGAAAACCTGCACCTTAGAATCCTAGAACTAGAAGGGACCTCAAGAGGTAATCAGTCCAGTTCCTTGCCCTCATGGAAGAGGACCTTACAACCAGTAAGAGTACACCGGACCAATGTATAAAATGTAATGGATAACGAGGAAGACCTCTTCTAAAGGAACTGTCAAATGTTCAGTGAGATTTGAGTTCTGGTGGGACCACCAGTCCACCCGTTCATTATTCTTCAGACCAGCAGTTCCCAACCACCAGTTCATGAACCTCTGGCTGCCAGAGCTGACGCCAGCTGTTTGCAGCAGCTCAGCTCCAGTAGCTGTGACTGATTTTGCCCGGCGGTGGTGCTGAGGTAAGATGGTGGTCTATCCAGGGCTCCACCCCCCTCTTCTACCCATAGGGTGCGAGACGCATTTGGGGAGGGAGAGGGTACGAAGGAAGAGTGAGCGAATGCACCACCAACAACTCTCCCCTGCCCGTGTGACAGTAACAGCCACACTCCCTAGAGGGGGCAGTCTTGCTACAACAACGAAGAAGCCAGGAACGTAATGCAGCCAACTTCACGGACCACCAGAAAATGCTCTACAGACCACAGCCTCTACAGATACTTATAGAATACCTGTATTTTAAAATATCTACAGAGGATCAGGCAACTATACGTTTATTGGAAGGTCTTCAGTCAAAGAAATAGACTTTAGATCAGAAACAACTAAGGGAAACTTTTTTGATGTACACACAGATGCTAAGGGGACTTGAAGGTTCTGGAGCTGTCTACAGTAGGGATGTAAAACCCCATTTAATCAGTTAACTGGTTAAATATATTGTTTAACTGGGTAACTAAAGGGGCGGGACAGTGCTGCTCCAGACCCCCACCAGTAAGAGTGAGGCTTAATGGTTAAATATTCACATTCCTAGTCTAAAGTCAAAAGGTAGCAGCAAGTGCAGCAGTTTTCATATGAAAATATTTTCACAAGCACAAGTAGTAAGCATAGTTTTTAAGATGAAATACCGTATTGAGAAGTGGATGATTTAGGCCAGGGCTACTCAACTTTTGGAAGCCCCTAGGGCCACAATGATACTCACAGCAACTTAAGGGGGTCGCAACTTAAGTATATATGCAAATAGCTTATTTCTCACTGACGGGCATGAACACACAGGCCCCACCCCTTTAAGTCAGTTCTGCTGATAATAATAAAATGCAATATTTACTCTATTTCCACCATTTTGACAGCACCCATGGGCTACATGCTGAGCCCCACATAAACCCAAACCATACTGTGGGCCACAAACTAACAGGCTGCAGGCGGCCCACAGGCCACATGTTGAGTAGTCCAGATTTAGGCCGAAAGTTGCCAGGAAAGACTTCCTTGAAATGAAAATGAAGTGACACTATACTAAAAATATTTCTCCATCATGCTATACCAGAGAAATAAAGCTATTGTTTGAAATTTGAGTGAATGTCAGGCTAAACCAAATGGAAGGCAACTAATAGCAAAAAATGTTTAAAATTAAATTAGCTTTCAGGTATTATGACAGACTTGTAAATTAGGAGTAAAAAAATGTAAGTGAAAGACTTATTGAAGAGAATAAAAATATGCAGAAGAGGAATTTACACAAATCAATTATCTACATAGGTCATGGTGTGACTGACTCATTAAGCATCATTTTTTTTTAAACACTATCACTATTCTATAAAATTATGGGAAAAACAAACCACTATTTTGTATGACTTTAATGTCCCATTTGACATTTCCCTTAATCACTTTAAAAAAATTAGTCATAAAAGAAAAACATACAACCTATTTCACCAAAATGCATGACTAAAGCTCTATCTAGTTTAAGTTTTACAACCAAAAGAAAGAAGAATCCTAGACACTTCTAGTTTAAGTTTTACAACCAAAAGAAAGAAAAGTGTCTAGGATTCTTCTGTCTCAAAACTTAAATTTTACTATTTCTTTCTCCCAGCTAAAATAAAATTGGCAATATGTTTTAAAAAAATATTCCATATTTAACATTGAACTTCCCAGGTTCTACAAGTCTAACTAATGACAATCCTTGCCACCTGAATTGAGTGTGAATCTTTGCCCTAGGAACCCTCCTTTTCTCCTCTAAAAAAGGACTGCCTGCCTGTAGTGCTTCAAGATACCATGTATTAGGATTGACTCAAGTGCTTCATAATACTAGGTATTAAGAACATTACATAAAAGATATACATTGTAAATACATACTGTACTAATAAGTCAGACAGAAAAGGTTGTAGTGTGTTAAACAGTATAAGTAGCTAGAAAGGCTATGCAAACACTTAAATGCTATGTTTTGCACTGCTCTGAACCCACTTCCCTCCCTGCTCCAGGGAGTTCGTAGTTCATACAAGATTCCTCTTCTCTGTCCCCACTTCCCTCCCTGCTCCAGGGAGTTCGTAATTCATACAAGATTCCTCTTCTCTCTGTCACAGAGCTGGAAGCTCATCACCAGACAGGAATGCGGGACTGCAAGAGGAAAGAGCAGGGACCTATTCATTCATCCATACAGGCACTAGCTACAGCACAGGGAAGCAGCTGTAGCACACAGGCAACTGTACTCACAACTAGTGAGACTACAATCCTCTCAAAACATGCTGTTCCTTTATCTCTTGCTAAGGGAGAAGTTAGTATTTTTATGCAATGTTCGTCTGTTGGAAGATCAAGCCCCCGACGCGGGGGGCGAGACGTGACGGCATCGACATCTGTTCCCCACAGTAACGTAGGCCAGAAATAGAGCCAATGGGGGAGTAGAAAGATTTGGGGTGCAGATCAGGAGGCCCTGGCAGCATGGCAAATGCAGGAACACTCCTTTGCAGAGCTCTATTCAGGAGTAATAACCCCAGCAAGCAACTAGCCGGCTCTTCCCGTAGGACAAGAGCCCGAGTGCTGAGGGGAGGAAAATCTGGGGGCTGATGCTGAGGCCCCCAGACACAAACACGCGGGACAACCAGTGCCCATCCAGGATGGTGCAACTCCCCACACAACGCTGCGACTCGCCTCCCTCTTGCTAGAGGGTCGGAAGAAGGCAGTTTCCTTATTAAGCGCTGCAGGACACAACGGCGTAGAGGAAGCCCAGATTCATTCATTTCCGTTAAAACTCTCCCATCTCAGGCCGCGCTGCAGCCCCCACCGGAGGACTGCGAAAATTAATCAGGGGCTTTTCCCTCCCCAATGAGAGCTCCGCCGGCCCGGGGGCGGGAAGGGTGTCACTCACCTGCCCAACAGTTGCTCGTGCTCCGTGCGGATCTTGCCCAGCTCGATCTGCAGCTTAGCCCGCTCCCGAGCCGTGTCGTCTAGCGCCCGGCGGGCATCGGCCAGCTCCGCCTCC